GCGCAGCCAATCTGTGATTAGTAATACACTAGTTTTCATATTCTGATTGGTTATGCAAAAGTATGTGTCTCGGCCTACACACCTACACATTTAACAAAGTAAGACTTTATGTCCGCCATTTTCTATCCAACTAGAATGCTGGCCAGTGAGGCCAGTCTCTTATTATAGTGTCTCTAGTAATTGGAAAGTTCGGGAACCATGGTGTTAGGATTGTTGGGAACATTGCGTGTTCCATTTGCCATTTGGTAGTCCTAACTCCTAAACTCGTATTGCTCGTATATATCCAATTCCATTGTATAATTGCGTGTAAATACGTTTGTGAAATTGTCAAATTCGCAGACAATTGTGAAAGATTCGTGCTACATGCACGAATTCAAGTGAATATTAATCTACGCAGGTAGGCAAAGCTTCAAGTATTTGCAATCGAAAATAGCAATTAGCCGTTCAGTCGGGTAGTCTGCCGAGACGTTTACGGTTTTCCTTATCCTCGCGCAAACGAGAATTCTGGGTTAACCAGTTATAACCAAACCGAACTTAATTGCGTATTACGTACTTTTATCGCCAAAACTACGAGAAAAGCGAAGAGACCTCAATGATTTTTATGAAACTTACGTATTTTATGTATTTCGAGACATGGAAAATGGATCCATTAAAAAATATTCTTGTCTTATTTTCTTTTTTTTGTTTATAACTTTGATTATAATTTTGATAAACACAACTTTGCGTAATATTACGTATATTACATTTTGAAAGAAATAACATGTATTTACAATATTTATACTTGCATGCATTACACTATTACAGTGACTTAGTTTACGCCGTTAAATTAATTGATACGAGTATCAAGATGGTGCGGATTAAGTATTTGATACGCCATTATTTACATTGATTTATTTCAAAATAAGTTAGGTTTTTAGATTTTTTATTTCACAAAACTTAATTCTAATTTTAAAGCAACTTTAAAGCATCTTTAACCTAATGCAGCAGTAGCTTAGTTTACACCGAGCACTTGATACGCGTACTAACTGGAAACTTTCTATTAAATTATCTTAATTTCTACAATGCATTTAACGAATGATGTACTAAGCTGATACACTATGCATTAAGATGATTAATTGAATACACATTATGTATACATTTACATGCATTGTCGAAATTGAGAAAATTTAATAGAAAGTTATTAATTAGTACACGTATAAAATGCTCGGTGTAAACGCAAGTAGATCATTACCATGCACTCTAAGATTTTGAAAAGAAAAGATTCATTATCTCTAGCAAATTATTGTCTATAAAGCCAGATTCAACAAATAAACATAAACGGGAATAAGCAATTTGCTTTGATAAGTGCAAATTGTACTGGGAATACTGTAATTTTATTGCAGTGAATTGTTCTATTTCTTTTCTATTTGTTTGCGACAATCAGTTCTGTATACTTTATAACTTATGAAGCATTCAAAGGTATGTTCAAGCCGACAAAGCAGCTAGTCTGCTCACTGAGCGATTGAACATATGATTGGTTTTTAGATCTAATCAATCACATAGAGGTTACAGTCCACTTAATGCTATAAATGTTTTGAAGCAATTCTTTGATTAGTTAGTAAAATTCTTTTTTCTAATTGATTAATCAAATGCTTTGAAGTATTTGTAGTCAATTGAATTGCATTCTCAATCACACAAATAGTTGCTACCAGCTTTGTCAGTTTGAACATGGCCATTGATTTCTTGTTTAATTCTAGATTATTCTAGAACGTTGGTAAAAAGTATAAGTAACTTTTTGTATATATGTGTTTCAAGTATGTTCACATTATTTTTAAAGCAATAAAGTTTTAAAAAAGTAATATATTTATATCTTATTAATATATCTATTTTATTACAATTTTGTAAAGTATTTTATAACAGATTTGTAAATGTGTAATAAAGTGTGATTTTTGTGGTAATCATTTGTGAGATATTACCACTTATGGTGGTTTTAGATATGAATGAAAAAACAAAATATCTCTAATAAAATTTATTAATTTATTAATTTAAATTAATAAAATTGAATTATTGAAATTAATTTAATTTTTTGTTTAAGATATACAGGTTTTTGTAAGAAAACTTTTATTTAAAAAAATTTGTTTATGATTATTAATTATAAAAATAACAGTGTATATATGTAAACCATATATATTGTATGAATATTTCTATGTTTATTTTAAAGTAATACTTGCATAACATATTATATAGAACTGCATGTATAAAAATATGGAACAAAAATCTTTCAACAGATTTATTTTTTTAATCTGAGAATACATGTTTTTAAATTTTTAAGAAAGACATCATAGAATATTATCAATAATTTAATTACTGCACAGAAACATTAATCATTAAATTTATTGTAAAGTAATAATTCTTGCATTAATCAATGTAATAATAATATTAAAATTCTTGATTAATGTAGCAGTTTTCATCTCTTTTGGAATAATACGTACTAATTATAATATAATTGTATAAATAAAATATAAATTATAATATAAAAGAGCTGCCCTATATAATCTAAATTTAATTTTTATTTTAGATTGCTTGAACAAGATTCTGTTGTAATTCGACATTAAATATGTTTGGGCAAACTGGAAATACATCGTTCAGTATGTATATTATATAAGTAAATATTGTCTGAGAGATTTAATTAAGAATATTTTTATTAAAATATATATTTTCTCTTTAGGTGGATTTAGCACAGCAACACAAAACAGTCCATTTGGCCAATCTGCATTTGGTAAACCGATTACTACAACGAGTTTTGGTAGTGGCGCAACACCTGTCTTTGGTAGTAGCAATACTTCATCACTCTTTAGTTCTAAGCCCACAGGTTCTACCACAGGTGGCTTGTTTGGAAATACCACAACGCCACCGGCATTTAGACAGCCAACTAACACTCAACCATCCTTTGGAGGTAGAAATTTATAAACTGTTTCATTTGCATGTACAACTTTAAAAAAAGTTTTCCTGTATGTATATTTGGGCGTGTGCAAAATACTCATGCATCTGAAACATTCTTAATCATATTACATATTTCTTAAAAAAACATTCACTATTCAAGGCTTGAAATATTTTATTGTACAATAAAGTTTTTGACAATTTTTGTTAAGGATTCTTCATAAATATAACAAATAAAAGATAAAAAAATTATAAATTGGATAAAAATTGATCTCTTTTAAAATAATTTATGTCTGTTATACTATTTCCTTTGTTATAAATCATTCTTATATATATTTTATATCCAAATAATTTATTTTATAAATTTTATTAGACAACCTGTAAATATTAAATGTAATAGGCAATCAATAAATAAACTAATTTTATTTACATGTTATATATTGTTAAAGTCTGACAAATATATCTTTGTTTTTACAGGCTTTGGAACAACAAATACAAGTACCAATCTTTTCGGCACCCAACAAAATACTAGTACAAACCTTTTCGGTACAAGTACAGGGACTTCGGCGTTTGGTCAAGCGAACAAACCTGGTTTTAACTTTGGCACAACTTCTGGAACTAATTTATTTGGACAACCACAACAGAATGCACAACAAACTACTCCGTTTGGTCAAGCCAACACTACCACAAATACAAATCTTTTTGGTGCAACCACAGGTAGATTATGAACGTTGTTTGTGTATATCTAAGTAAATCAAAATTTAAAATTTCAAACACTTTGATTTCTCTTTGTTTTCTTCGGTTACAGGTTTTGGCAATACTAACCCGACTACTGTACCAGCTGGTACCGCTGTGAAATTCACACCTGTTATTACAACTGATTCTATGTCAAAGAATGGAATATCACACAGTATTTCAGCTCGTCATTGTTGCATCGCGTCTATGAAGGAATATGAATCCAAATCATATGAGGAATTACGTTTTGAAGATTATCAAATTGGAAGAAAAGGTATGTTGTATAAGATCCATTAATTTTAACACTAAAATAAAAACTAAAATTAATTTTTTTTTCTTATTTTTCCTGCTTTTTTAACAGGTCCACAAACAGGTCTTTTTGGAACATCGGCGCAGACATCACCGTTCGGTAGCACATCAGCTGGTACTAGCACGGCTGGAACAGGTAAGTTATGCAATATAAAATATTTATCAAATAGGGATATTCAGATTAACTCATTAAAACAAAAATTGTGTACTGGCTTGTATTTAGAAATAAATTAGAACTAAAAGGAATAGAGCAAATATGATTATAAATTCTCCATTTATTAAAAACGAGCAAATATGATCATAAATTCTCCGTTATTAAAAACATATTTCCGATTAAAGTAATATAATATATTATTAAAATTTGTATTTGCGGCTGAAGCAGACTTACTACTTAGTTAAAGTTGAAACTCCTCTTTAATATTGTTAAATTAACTGATATTATATTCTAACATCTCTTGTTTGCTTACTTTATTGGCCTCTATTCTTTTTCGTTTTTAATTTAATCTATTAAATCCCAGAATATTCCTATGCACTTTTTTGTTTTAAATCCTTGTATCTTGGAATTTTAATCAAAATTTTCAAGTTGCAATTAGTATTTAGAAGTAAAAGATCTCTTTCTGAAAATAAAGTTGGGGATGAAGTAAAATGTCTAGGAAAAAAAGATATAAAGATTAAAAGTGGAAATAAAAAAGTAATTCCTGTTTCTTTACTGATATATTCAACTAATAAACGATTTTGTCTTGCCTTTTTGAATAGAATAAATTGAATATTTCTTAGTAAAAAAGCAGGGCAATTTTTTTAATTTTCATTTGCAATCTTTGTATATATTTTTTCCAGACATCTTATCTCATCACCAATTAGATTTTCTAAAAGAGCAATTATTTTTATCTCTAAATACCAATTGCGATCTAAAAATTTTGATCAAAACTTGAATTACAAGAGTTTAAAATAAAAAAGCACATAGGAATCTTCTGGGACTTAATAAGTTAATACAGATTAATAAATTGTAGATGTAATAAATATGTTTAAGTAATATCTGAATAAAAATTGAAATTATAGTACCATAAATAATTATATATACTGTAAATATTATATTAAAAACTAGAATATTTAAATGTTTCTACAAATAAATATATAATTCCTTGTTTTGTTTATTTTTATATATTATAAAAAGATCCAAGTATCTAAAAAACATGGTTTGCATATATATACTATTTATACATATAATGTCTATTCTATTATAAAAATAGTAAAGATTTCTCTAACTTATCTATTTATTGAAGGATTTGGATCAATGGCTGGAGGATTTGGTACTACTAGTCAATCAGGATCAACTGGACTATTCGGAAAACCTATTACTAATTTTGGAACACCAGCAACTACAACAACGAACAGTTTTGCATTCAATTCTACGCCAACTACAAATCTGTTTGGTACTAATACTCAAACAAAGCCATTTGGTAGTAAGTTATTTTATTTATCTCAATATATATATATATATATATATATATATCTCTATATCATAAATTTCAACAATTTGTACGTGTTATACGGGATGAATTTGTCTATATAAAGTACATGGTGTAAGTCTCTATGGAGACACTTCTGTTAATATTTTCTCTTAGCAAAAGGAATTTTTGTTCTTACAAAATTGCATCTGAACAATAGTTTTTAAATGAGAGCAATTTGAAATTAACATTTAAGTACTCTAAGTTATGCGAATTAGAAATGCATTGGACATGTTGCTGTTTTTTCTCTGAACATTTCATAATAAATATGCATGATATATAAATATCGCTACTTTTAATACATCAAACTACTTTTTAACTATTTCTAAATAACTGAAAGTAAATTGAATGTAACTGTTAATTTGCACAAGAAAATCTTATTTGTAGAATAAGATATATAAAAAAAAATTTCTCTTACAAGTTTGTATTTAAAATAGTGATATTTAGATATCATACATAATTGTTATGAAATTTAGAGCAGGAATTCAAAATATGAGTCACAACTCACTGGTGCCTTGTGAATCAACTTGATGAGTCATGAAAAATTTTAGAATTACAAATTATACACTTCTTTATTTCGTGTGTCTGTGCAAACTTACGCATACAAGCTCTTTATTTCGTACATATTTGAAATTGGATATTTAATTTGATAAGAATCAAAAGTAAATAATCAAATCATAGTTTATTTCGAAGTAATAATATATTCGATAACTGTAGTTTATTCCGAAATAAACTACATATAATTATCGAATCAATTCTTTGTATCTGAAAACAACTTATCAAAACTGACATCAACATAAAAAAAGCTTATTCTTCATACATCTTATTATGTATCTTAGAAATAAAATTATATTTAATAAAAAATTAAAGATTAACAGGAATACTAATATAAATAATGTATATTAATAAATGATTAATTTATGATAATTTACCATTTTGAAAAATGATTCATACAAGTTTAGAAATCCTTGCTTTAGAAAAATAATAAAATAGCATATAGCATTATTGCAATTAATTTATACATAACTTAGAACGTTTATTCATATTGTATGATTTTTTTACTATTTATTTTATTAATAAAATTTTATACTTTATTAAAGATATATATTTTGAAATATGAAGTAAAGTATAAAATTTATTTGTTAGCTTTAAATTGTTTTCTTAATTATACTGTACTTTTTATTCCATATGTTCAAATTTTAAGGGTGACTAGTCACCGCGGCCATATTGAAATCGTGCTGTCATAAACGAGTAATAAAACATAAAAGTTTGTTACGTGCTATTTTTAAATAAAGAAAATTTAGAAATAACAATTCGCTTTAAAAATGGGCAGAAATTATCTTTTTCCCTCCTGACAGCCAGTAAATAGTCGTAAAAAGTACGTAAAGTGAAGTTTATTCAGGCAAGAAAACTCACGGTTTGACAACTGTTGAAAGGAGTGAAAAAGATACTTTTGTGTATAAAATAATAACTTCAGTTTCTGTTTATTTTTACGAATTTGATAAGTACGAGACAAATCACATTTTCATTATTAAGCACAATTAAGCACATAATGAAGAAATGGCACGCAACACAAAATTTGTCGTTAGCACTTTTCACAATAGGTCCGTTATTCTCTTCATATTCGACTGTAATTGAACAATTTTTACTGCTTATGATATCGGCATACAACATATTTTGTAGAATTATCACGGTTTATAATTTATAACACCAACATATGACGTATTATAGAACGGGTCTATTACGATAAACAAGCTTCTAATTTCTATCGCAATATAGTGTTGCCACCATTAAGGCAGAGTTTGTGGCTGACTAGTCTGGAGTCTTAAGCTATTTTGTATATATAAATATTCTTTTTCTTTTTAATTATCTTAGATTTATATTTATTATATTAATTATACGTAGATATATATTTATATTTTAATACATTAAAATTAAACGTATATAATTAATATTAAAATATGTAGTAATTATAAAAAGTATTGAAATTATTGAACATACACGTCGATCCATGCATATGTATAGAAATATGTTTGTAACAATTTTTGAAGGAGAGAAAATTCAAATTTTTTATTTTTTCAATATTGCATGATTTTCTGTTTAATATTTATTTGATTAGTAAAGTAAAAATATATTTTTAATAAAGTATAAATTTTATTTATAGCAGCTGCCCCGACGCCGCTTTTTGGTACCAGCAGCACTAACCAAACTGCTGGAACAGGTTTTGGTAGTATTAATACTGGACAGAATACAGGATTTGGTTCTGCATTTGGTTCTACACAATCTAATCAGGTAATGTATAACATATGTGAAAATCAATAAAATATATATAAAATGATACTTATACTTTGTTTATAGAGCATTGGATTATTCAATCAGAACAAGTCTGCTTTCAATATTCCATCAACGTCAACTAGTACTGGTTTTACTGGTTTTGGTCAACCGGCTACAAATACCACCACACCATTGTTCGGTAATAAAACTACTACCACTGGGTTTGGAACAACATCCACGTTTGGCGCAGCTGCACCTTCCACATTTGGAACTAATACAGGTTTCAATTCTGGCTCCAATACCGGATCTTCATTGTTTAACTCGTCGTTTAAACCAGCTGGACAAACATCGGGATTCTCTTTCGGAACTACACCTGTGTCTTCAACTGGGCTTGGTAATTATTCTTTTTGTAATCCAATTTACGTATATTATCTAAATCAATATAGTTAATGTTATGTAATGTACGTGTATGTTATAGGCACGAATACTGGTTTAAGCTTGGGCAGTTCTTCATTGTTTGGGCAACAAAAGCCAGGCAGTCTGTTTGGAAATACCGGAAACAATACGACATTTAACAATCCTGGAACATTTGGATCTTCTACTTTTGGAACAAGCTCTAATATGATGTCTGGAACAGGAATGAGCTTACTCAATGGAGGGTAACGCGATGTTTACACTTTATACTTTAATTTTATTCTTTCTTATTAATGTCTCTAATTTTATTAATATTTTCAATTAAGAGCCTGTTTGATTATTTAAATGTTTAATAACTAGATGAATAGAGTTATATAGATGTGTTTTATATATCTTAGGATGACATCAAACCAAACTAAAACAAATGGTTCAGTACCAGTACATCAGCAAATCTTGGCTCTCGTTTCCGCACCATTCGGTGATTCACCATTATTGAAGAATCTTTTACCAGTAAGTATCTGGTAGACTTAAAATAATCCTGAAAGAAGTATTATAATTTATTTTTTATTGCAATGTATATCTTTATAGGCATCTGGAAAAACCGAGGAACTCTTAAAACCTACAAATCCAGCATCGAAAGTACTGAATAGTCCGCAATATAGAGTTACTGCCAACAATAAATCACCGAAAATCAAAGCAAGAGTCGTCAGTTCTGCACAGCTATCTAAGGTAAATTAAAGAAGTTTTTAAATATTTGATTGTAAGTAAAATTAGTAAATTTTTAAATATTTCATTTTGGGATGTAGTCGCAAAGTATTTCTTTTATTTTCATTAAATATAATTAAATATATTAACAATAATATTAACAATAATATTATTTACAATAATATTAAATATTTATTATTATTAAATATAATCTTTTATATTATCATGGAATACTAAATATTTTTTTTTTCTGAAATACTTATTTCAGAAATCCTTGTTTGATGGTCTCGAAGAAGAGGATCCTGTGATAACTGAAGCTTTTCAACCTCGGCCAAGTGCGAAACGTTTAGTATTACGACCGAAGTCAGCATCAAATTCTACGATTCAATCTCCTACAGAAAACGGGGAATCCGTGACAAGAAATGACACCACAGATGATAGGGCAGATACAAACATAGTTCACAGCAACAATATTGAAGTAAATGATAAAGAAAATCATAGCCAAGAAAATAATCGACTTGCGAACGATCGACGGTCATCTACATCTTGGTAATGCAATAACATTTTTCGGATACTTTCATAATACCTCGAATTTGCTTTAAAGTTATCGCAAACATTAAGAGAGATGTAAATTTCAATATCTTTAAATGTAATTTACACAGGTTGAAGTCGACACTTCCACGAAAGAATAAAATTTCCGATGATGAATTGTTCGAAGGACAGCGATCACCCTTTTCTGGAACAAATACATCCGAAGAAGTGAATAATACGGTGGCCGAATTAAGATCGCAAAATAATATATCAAATCATTCAGAAACAATTAATTTGACTGAAGTGCCGCTAAATTCTACTTTTGATGAAAAAAATTCCGTGAACCTTACCATGCAAAATGCAGGTAAACTATTAATTGAATAGTATACAATTATTGTAGTATAAATAATTATATTAATATATATTATATCGTAATTTATTGTAATATACAATATTACAAATTATTATATACAATTAGTTATTGTTATTAATTACATTACTTCACAAAATTAAAGGATTACCTTCTATCCTCTAAAAGCATGCAAATTACAAGATAGAGTAACTTCGTCAAAAATGATCATAAAAAGATTTTTTTAAAGCATTTTACAGCTTGAAGTCTCTACTTTTCAAATTAATATTTTAGAGAGTAATCGATTAACTGATTTTTTCAGAGCCGCTTAGATACAAATGGAGATGTGACAAATCGCAAGATTTTTTCCGAACTCTGCAAAGTTCCATGGCGTGTAATAAAAATCACACACAAACGCGGTATACAGCTTTCGAAAGAATAAATCTTTTTCTTTGATTTGCTTTTTTGTTGAGCAATTTTTTTTTACAGAGTTATTCAATATTGAAGCAATTTTTTTGCTGTAAAAAAAGCTGTACATCGCGTTTGTGTACGATTTTTATTTCACGCTATGGAATTTCGCAAAGTTCGGAAAAAATTTTGCGATTTGTCGCATCTTCATTTGTGTATAAGTGGCTCCGAAAAAAAATAAGTTAATGGGTTACTTTTTAAAATTTATTAATTTAAAAAATGGAGACTTCAAGCTGTAAAATGCTTTTAAAAAATCTCGCTATAATCATTTTTAACGAAGTTACTCTATCTTGAAATTTGCCTTGTTTTTGGGGGTAAAACAGGTGATTCTTTAATATTGTGACGTAGTATATTTAATTAATATTATTCTTTAAATAATGTATTCTACATTAATTAAGTGGTTAATTAATTTTCAAATTAATTAAACAGAAATTTTTTTTTTAATGAAATGAGAGATTCTTTACATGTTTTTTTCTTAATTCTTGTTTTTTAATTCTCAGAATCCGGCCAGGAAACAGACGAAAGTTCATTTTCGATGTTACAATCAAACTGGACCATGAACATGGCTAAAGTTACATTACGACGAGCAGGCTATTATACCATTCCATCGCTCGATAAATTGGACGATTTTGTTTGCGGCGAGACGTGCATCATACCAAACTTTACCATTGGTCGCGAGGGTTATGGCAATGTATACTTTCCGGATTCGTTTGATGTTTACGGCTTAAATCTTGATGAAATCGGTAATTTGTATAAATGTATTAATTTAATATATTTTTTTATAATTTTTTGTGAATATCACATTACGTTATTTTCATTAAATTAAACTTGCAATTGATTTATAAACATCTTTCTTTGAAAGAAGAATTATGTAATGTTTTGCTTACAAGTCAGTATGACGGGTTGCCTATTCCTGCAGGCGCGCAAGGTTCACAATTGCGTAGACTTCGGCGGCAGATGTACCATTGAATATGCCATCGAAATCTCTGCAGTTGTGAACGATTTTGCGCTTGCATGAATAGGCAATCCGTCGTACTGACCTGTAAATAAAACACTCGGTACATTGACTGATATTACGTTTGCCATTGCAGTACATTTCCGTCATAAAGAAGTAATTATTTATCCCGACGACGAAAAGAAGCCGCCAGTGGGACAGGGCTTGAATCGAAAAGCACAGGTCACCTTAGACAAGGTATGGCCACATGACAAGTCGCTGCACGAGCCGATTACAGATCCGCAGCGGCTTGCCGCAATGAACTACGAGGGAAAATTGCGTAGAGTATCCGCGAAACACGACACCCGTTTCCTCGAGTATCGACCGGAGACCGGCTCGTGGGTTTTCAAAGTCGACCACTTTTCGAAGTACGGTCTCAGCGATTCAGACGAAGACGACAATCAGATGCCGTCGACCTCGGAAGCGAAGAAATTGAAGGGATTTCCCGCGACCATACAGAAGGGTAAATCTATCGATCCGTCGGTGGCGATGAATAAGGAATCAATCAATGGAACGATTAATGGAACGCTCGATGGTACGAAGATCGGAAACGGCAAGCATCTGAACGAGGTCGACAGTACTTTTTTAGGAAAAACCCCATTCAACCGTTTTGCCTACGAGCGAGGAATGATCGTCAGCCCGGAAACCTCGTTTAGCCATTCCGGTTTCATTCCCGAAGACTATAATTATGAAAAACGAATGACTATTAGCCCGGTTGGCGATAACGCCCGCGTCGCCGGTACAGACAGCCATAAATTGCAGCTGATGAAAGCGAGCTTCTTCGACGTGAACGACGAGGATTTGAACGAGGAACCGAGCAATGGCATATTCCCCTCCGTACAAAAAACCCTGATACGCTATTTCCCAGATGTTACGGAGGCCAGGAACGATGAGACTCCGTACAACACTACGACATTACGAGCAACTCTTGTCGCAAATGAGACACTATTCTCTGCGTGCCCGGAGAATGTGATTTACACGTCGAATAAAAAATCGCACTTACCTTACGTCGGCGTCCGGGACAAACAACTGATTGCCGAGAAAGCTATTCCACCACCTACGGTCACGCCGGTGACGAGCGTGTTGAAGTATCACTACGAAGTCGTACCGCTCAAGGAGTCCCGATTGAACAAGTTGCGATTTCGTTGCGTTGCCGATACTGGTATATACATGGGCAGGACATTTCGACCAAGTTGGGGTGCCGGTTTAACATTGCTGTCTCTAAGTACGCAGGAGCAGGCAACCAAGATGCAGCTGAGGAGCACATTCAGCCAATTGAGCCGTTACGTCTCCGGTCGTCTCACCGACGACGTCTCATCGACGGTAATTGTTCAACGCCTGCAAATTCTGGGTGGCGACGAATACGACATGAAGATGTTCAAAGACAGTATAGAATGTCACTTAAGAATCCAATTGGAGCATTGCGTAATGGGTCACGATGGTGACTGTCCCACATTCGACGTAGCGACCGACAGCGCGAATGAAGCATTGCAACTACACTGTACGCTGGCGCAGGATCTTGTGGAGAAGGAGCAAAGACCGTGCGAGGATGCCAATGACGAGCAGGTGCAGTACGGCAGCGCCACCGAGAGATCGTTCCGTCAGTACGCGAGTATCGTGTGGGCTCTGTGCATGGCACTTTGGGGAAATTACTCCGAATTACTCCAAATTACTCAGAATACGACTGGTGCCAACGAGGAGCACTATAACGTCATGGTAAGAAGGGAGGCCGTAGGCGTGTGGTTGAGGAATGTGGTACAGAAAACGGTCGAACGAGAGATCGAAAGCATCAACAGTGTGAGTAAGAATTCTCACGAGAAGACAATATTGTCGCTGCTCTCTGCTTGCAAGCTGGAGGAAGCTTGCCAGGAAGCGCGGAAGGCCGGGGATCACTGCCTGGCGTTGCTGATGGCGCAACTACGAAGTGGCGCGACAGTAAAAAAACTGATCAAGCAGCAGCTCGCGTTATGGCAGGAGACCGACGTGGATGAGAATCTCACGATCGATCGTTTGAAGCTGTTCATGTTGGTGGCGGGCGAACCGCTCATCTCCAGCAAGCATGGCACTATCAATGTGTGCGAGGATCTGGATTGGAAGCGGGCCTTCGCCATCCATCTGTGGTACTTATCGCCGCCGACTTGTTCGATCACTGATGCATTGGACCTCTATGAAGCGTCGTTCAATACGACGGAGGCTCAAGCGTACGCAGCAATTCCTAAACCCGAGTACAGAGAAAACGACTATGACGCCGAGTTAAATAATGGCAATAAGCAGATACACGATCTCTGCTATCATCTTTTAAAATTGTACTGCACGGGAAATCATGATCTGGGCGAGCTTCTGAATCCGCTGTCGTACACCGTCAATCCCTTGGATTACAGATTGAGGTAATTTTGTATTAATAATATCCCAGTAGGGACAGTACAATAAGGCGCGTTATATATTTATAAAATCGAGATAAAATCAAATCTAATAATTTATTTTTATTTGATTAAATGCTTTCGACGTTTACACAAATTCGTATTGCGTGCGTGCATGCGTAAAAAATAAAAGCGAACACGAACATTAACTTGCAGGTGACGATGTGTAAATAATACTGTTTAACACAAAAATGCACAAAAGTAATAATTTTCCGTAGTTTTTTATGAGTACGATTTTGTTTATCAAATTGCTTTATTATATCACAATTTTTAGAAATTTGTGATCAAAGTTGCAACAAAAGAGAAGTACACATTCGAGCTGACATTTGTTTGAAGTTAATATGCGTGTGTGTGCGTATTACGCATAACTTTGTAAGATGTTAGCTGAAGGTGTTCTTTATTATTGTATTATACATAAAACGCTTAAAGATTGAATTCACAAGAATAAACTTATTGCATAGTTGACTCGTTTTAAACTAATTGTAAGATTCTCTCTTGACCACGCTATTCGCTTAACTCGCTATTGTCTCTAGCCATATCTCTCTTCCTCCTTCTCGGTGTTTCCTATCATTAGCTTCTCATAAAAGACTGCGCATTCACATGTGGCAACTGAAGACAATATTGAAGGAGGTATACATAGTTGGTTACTCTTTACATATTACACAAAAAAGGCTGCTTTTTCTCTTCGTCACCAACTGTACAATTGAATGAGCAAATTATCTGACTAACTATTGCCCTCTTTTATATAGTACTCAACAAAATTAAATAATCACCTGTTCTATCCTTCAAAAACAAACTTCACAAGATAGAGTAATTCTTATCAAAAATTATTATAACGAGATTTTTCAAGAAACATTTTACAGCTTGAAATCTTCACTTTTTAAATTGATACTTTAAAAAATAACCGATTAATTGATTTTTCTCTGAATCGCAGAGATATAAATGAGATGCAACAAATTGCAAAATTTTTTTCGAAATTTGCAAAGGTTTATGGCGTGAATTAAAAATTGCATACAAATGCGATTTACAGCTTTCGAAAGAATGAATCTTTTCCTTTAATTTGCTTTTTGTTGTACGATTGAACATTGTATGATTTTTCTTCATCGAGTTATTCAACATTGAAGCAAGAACGATTCTTTTGTTTCAATGTTGAATAACTCGGGAAAAATCGTACTACGTTCAACAAAAAAGCAAATTAAAGAAAATAATTCACTCTTTTGAAAGCTGCATATTGCATTTGTGTACAATTTTTAATTCACGCCTTAAAACTTTGCAAATTTCGGAAAAAATTTTGTGATTTATCGCATCTCCATTTACATCTATATAACTCCAAAAAAAAAATCAGTTAATCATTTTCTAAAGTATTAATTTAAAAAGCGGAAACACACACACACACACACACACACACACACACACACACACACACACGCACACACACGCACACACACATCAAGATGTAAAGATGTAAGACACTGTGGTTTAAAGGACCCAAATTACAAGCGGAGAATTACAAGATCTATCGATTTTTGTTCAATAATATTTTGATAGTATATTATGGAATATTTTTAAATTATATTATTTAGATTTTTTTAGGTCACGAAGTATATAATTAATTTGATGTCAAAGAAATCGATAAACTCAAAATGACGGAATCAATATGGCTATCAATATTAAAATTTTAAAAATGTTTAAATTTTTAGAATAATTCATGTATAAGAATTTTTTATACAATTTAAATTAAATTATTAACTTTGATATCAAAATAACATTCAGCGATTTGAAAAACCTTCCTCAAGTTTGAATAATTAAATAATATTTGTAGCAGAGATTCCCACCCTCTTAATAGCTTGTATAATATCGCAATTTGATGCAACAGATCTTATATTAATCATAAATATCTTTTTATAAAAAATCAACACAAATTTCTTTTTAAAGGCTGAATTCTAGCAACATACATAGTTTTGATTGCAATAAAATTTTTCTATTACGTTGCATATTGTAATTATAATATGATAAATACACTAAGATAGCTCTTTTTTGTAACTTAAACTGCAAATTATTCAAAATTATGACGTAATAGAGCATTTTGATAAATAGGATATTTAGCACCCAAAAACTACAGAAAATAATTGTATTAAAAAATAATTTTTTATTGAACAGTGTAAATATGTTTAAAAAGTTGTGCTCATTAACAAATTGTTTCAATCGTTTTTATAATCATTTTCAGTATGATTACATAATTTCTCTTATATGTATATATTATCTTCTCGATAGTTGGTTGATGCAACAAACGCTCGTGGCTTTGGGCTACACGCATCTCTCCGATCACGTTGCCGCATTGACACACACAAACTTTGCGACTCAATTGGAGGCACATGGACTCTGGCACTGGGCGATCTTCGTAGTATTGCATCTACGAGATTCATCAAGGCGACGAACTGCTGTGCAAGATTTGCTGTTACGTCACATAGAAATAGACGACACTCCGGAATATGTGAAGCATGAGCAATTCTTGAAAGAAGAGCTTGGTATATCATCGATTTGGATTCATCAAGCCAAGGCTATCAAAAGTAGCGTCAATAAAAGGTATTTAACAATATATTTAGATATAGGTACTATAAATGCACTCAAATAAATCTAAAAAAGAAGTGATTGTGAATATCTGTTAATTAGAAAATAATATTTTGGGCATATTTAGAGAAAATCGACACTTTTGCAGGTATGGCGAAGCAGCTTGGTACTACATCCAGGCGGAACAATGGACCCAAGCCCATGAAATTATTATAGAGCATCTGGCAGCCGATGCTATAATAAATGGTATCGTTTTCTTTTCTTTCTATACAGAGTTTTCGAAAAGTCCGGCAAATTATTTCAAAAATGAAACTTTAAAGAAAACTATTAAATGGAATAGTACTAAGTAATACAAGTATAACAGTTTGACCTTGGATTAAGTTTTCAAGGAGATTATCTTGAGTTTTTAAATGGAATCTTATTTTTATTGCATATTCTCGGAGTAGTTGTCGAGATATTTTCAAAACACATGATCAAGAGCATTTTTTTATGATCTGTGTTTCGAAAGAACTTTTTAAATGAGTTTTCCACGTTTTAATTTTTGTGATGTTGAGTACATGCTTGTTATTCAATGTAGATTCCATCGTTTCGTTATATCGACGATATTATGTCGACTTACCCATTTATCTTAATTAAAAAATTGTCTCATCTGTAAAAATAATATTTGTTAAATTAGGATTTAATTCTTTTTATTATTAATTTACTAAATTTAATCTGATGATCAAAATCATTATTTAATAATTTCTAAATCAAGTGAACTTGTATGGATGAAATTTATCCTTTTTTTTTTTAAGTTACGCACTGACGCAATACATTTATTTTATATTGTTTCGCGATCTTACGAATAGATATAATGGATTTTTTTATAAAGGATTGTAAAATTACTTTGTCCACATTGAACAGATTACAACTTTAAAAACTCAAGAAATTCTTTATGTAAAAAATAAGTTTTTGAATGATCAGAATCTCGAAAATGTTTCGACAATTATTACGAAAATAAAAAATAGGGATTTTATTTTTAAAAATCAAGGTGATCTTGAAAACTTAGTCCAAGGTCAAATTGTGTTATACATTATCTATCTAATGCATTATTTAATATCCAGTAATTTTTCTATTTAGTATTTTTCTTTAAAGAATTTGATTTTCGAGATATCTTGTCTCGTGATTTTTTAAACACTCTGTCTCCACGCCGTATATTACAAATAATTTTATTTAATATTCTATGTTGCAGAAAACTATGAATATTTGAAATCATTGTTAAGCTCACTAGTACCAATCGAATGTAGCGGCACGATTAGCGGATGGTCTCATCAGGGACAGCTCTTGTGGGAGTATATGGAAATAACCAGCGAGATTCAGAGCCTGTTAAAGTCCGCTCCGGATTACTGCGGACTAACTTATCAACTGGAAGCGCTGAAGCCTCGATTAACGAGCTTGTGTCAGAAAATTGACCAGTTCCCATGCCCAACTGCTAAACACAGGTACATATTATTGCCAATATACATTATTGCAAGCCGTTGTTTCTTCGTATAGTGTGCTAAGACATTTTTTTTCGTATTTTCTAGATTGTGCCAAGCCGAAATTGCGAAGAGGACTCTACACTTAGCTAGAAATATGCTGTTGCTGCAGAAAAATGAGCAGAGATCCGTTACAAAGTTGTTGTTTCGTCTGATATCTCAACTACCGTTACCGGAAGATTATGCACAACAGGAACTGCGACCCATTGTTAATATGCGTGTAACAGAAGTGATGCCGTAATTCAAATGCGAAATAACGCACATAAGTTAATAATTGATCGGTCACGTAGTTGTAAAGTTCATTTAACGGAGAGAGTCCCATTTTTATATTTTTTTTCTTGCGCACGCCTGTAAAGCTGTAATTTCACACAGAAAGTAAGCATGAGGTTTGAAAAATTTTTCGATAATCCTGAATATAATGTATACAAATAGCTGGTCGCGGTAGTAAATTGCGCGATTCCTACAGTAGATTTGTAAACTTGGAAATTATAAAACTTAGCAAAATACATTAATATGTGATACTATTTAAGTGTTTCTTACATTTTTAATCAATTTATGCACAAAATTGTCTGATGATTTAAGAAACGTGTATGACTAACTATATGAAGATAATCACGTATAATCGATCACGGTTGAGAGGAAGTATGGACGAGAGATATTTCTGTATTTTGCATAGAAATATTTCTATAGTAGTAGTATAGTTCTTTCTGTATAATTTAATATTGTTGCGCCTGAATAACAGACAAGTTATATTAGATATCTAACAAGGGACCCTTACAAACTGCACAATAGCTACAGCATAGAGAAAATTATCCAAGCATCTTGACTCCCTTTGGATCACTTTCCACCCAAAAATTAAACCGGAAATGAAATAAATATAAATAATAAAATAATAAAAAAAATAAAATAAATAAAATAAATTTTTTTTTAACTTTTCGATAAATTATCCAAGCATCTTGATTCCCTTTGGATCACTTTCCACCCAAAAACTAGACCGGAAA